CAATCACCAAGTGCCCCGTTTTCGTACGCCCGCCTTCCACCCCCGGGCCGTGGCGCACGATGCCTTTTCTATCAGTTGGCACGAGGAGAACGCGTACGCGTTTCCCCCACCTTCACTGATTCCGGCGGTCATCTCACACGCACGACGTTCGCGTGCTAGGCTAACACTCCTTGTCCCCCGCTGGCCAAGCGCCTTCTGGTGGCCTATTCTATACCCGTGCGGTACTTCATGTGCCTCTTTCATATTAGATCACATTGCACTTCCCCTAGGCACTTATTGTCTTGCACTCGGTAGTGATGTGCATGCGTTCGGTGGATCGGGGTTGCCTAACTCGCCACTCATTGTTCTTCGCATGGATTTTTCTCTTGAATGAATATCTTCACGTGTGGCAGAATCCAAATTTGTCGACTCCTTTTGGACCTCCTCACGCTCACTGTGGACCTCCGTGCTCAATCCACTATTCGCACGTACGAGCCGTACTGGCGGCAGTACCGCACCTTCTGCGCCAAAAACTCGCTCCAGCCACTTCCCGCCAATGATCTCACCGCGGCCCTCTTCCTTTTATACTCTATTCGGTCGGGAGCGACGCTGTTAGCTGTTCGTTCTATCTGTTCAGCCATCTCGTGCGCTCACTGGCTCTTAGGTGCCCCATCCCCTGTCAAGGGCCCACTCTCGTCACAGGTTAAGGACTACGCCCAGCGCACTTGCGCCCGTCCCCACCAGGCAAAGGATCCTGTGCCCCCCTCCAAGATATACGACATGTGCGATGCTTATTTTTCCTCTCGAGACCCCGCCATCTTCCAAAAAGGGCTCATTCGTCTCCTCATGTTTTCGGCCTTTCTGCGCTTCTCCGACCTCGTCGCCCTTCAATGGCACCAAATCGAGTTCGACTCTGATTGCATGTGGCTGTTCATCCCCCGTTCTAAGACCGATCAAAGGGGAGCCGGCGCATGGGTTCCAGTGGCTACGTCGAACGCTCGTCACTGCCCCGTTGCTCGCGTTAAGGAATTTCTCTTTCTGGCGGGATTCTCTCGAGCTTCCATCGGCCCTCTCATTCGCGTCTTTCGACCTGGTTCGGGCGCGCTGCCGTCGGATGTCCCTCCCTCCTACACCACTGTGCGGAATTGGTGCCGCGAGGCCTTCGCTCGCGTCGGTCTAAATCCCTCCACCCTTGGGACACACTCATTTCGGAAGACGGCGGCCACACTCGCTGTTGACGCTGGGGTTCCCGATCGCCTTTTCAAAGCTCTCGGGCGGTGGCGCAGCGATGGTGCAAAGGAGATGTACATCACCCAGCTCGACTCTGAGTTGATTCGCGCATCCCGACTCATGCAAGACCCTACTCGACAAAGCCCTACAGCACGTTATGCGTCTACTGTCGGCCGCGTCCGTCACCGCCCCTTACCATAATGTTTCGTTCTCCTATGACGACTGCATTGCAGACTCCTTTCAGAGTCTTGTCACAATATGAATAATTTAGAAATATATTTCTAAATTTAATGATTGTGACAAGATTCGGAAAAAGGGGAATGCAATAAGGAGGCATTCCCACCTTATCCTTCGGCAGGTCCACAGACCTGCCACCTAGTCTCATTTCACTCATCTCAATTTGAGTTCCCGCCCTCCCACCCCTAATACTTATCTATGCTATTAGCTTAATCACGTACGGTAGCTTTGCGTACCATTGTTACATATATATACTGTGCCATGTAAATTGATGATGAACCTATGACGACTGCATTGCAGACTCCTTTCAGAGTCTTGTCACAATACGGGTGTTTCCTCACTCATGGTTGGACTTCAGAGCCGTATCAAAGACTATCTCATCTCGTAGCTCAACCTTCCATCTGGGGAGCTCATCACCGAACTATCTGCCATAACAACATGCTGCACCGACTATTTTTCCTCGCTTTACAGTGGATCTGCCTCGATCTCTCGTGACCCTTCTTTTTGGCAGCATGTCGTCCCATCAATACTTCCCTCAACGTGCTCTGTCCGGCTGGACTTACCCTTCTCTTTCAAAGAGATTGAACATGCCCTCTGGTGCTTTTCCAGGGGTAAGACCGCTGGGCCTGATAGGCTGCCAGGCGAACCGTTCCACTCATATAAATTGCTCCTGGCTCCGCGCTTCCATCGCCTGTGCAACACCATATATATTCAAGGATACTTACCGAAGTCCATGAAAGCCGGTAGGACTTTGTTGATTCCCAAGAAGTCTACACTGACGAGATAGCCAATTTAAGGCCTATCACTCTTATGGTCGTGGATTACAAAGTTATTGCTCTCCTCCTTGCCTCTCAGCTGCAATCTGTGCTTCACAAATTTATTCATCCTGCACAAGCAGCTTTCATCAAAGACAGAAGAATCGACGATACCATCAATGAGACCTTGGACCTAATGGAATGGGCCGTCTCGCAAGGTGATCCCCTCCTTGTCCTCACGGTTGATATTCGTAAAGCATATGATATGAAACACCTAGGCATCCCACCGGGGTTCATTCGATGGGTCAACATGCTTCACTCAGACACCTTCTTCAGAGTTTCTGTCAATAACATCTCTGGCCCTCTCTTCCCGGTGTGTTCAGGAGTTCGCCAGGAATGCCCCCTAGCCCCTCTCCTGTTTGTTTGCGTGATTGAAGCAATGCAAAGATACTTACAAGCTTTCCTCCCTGGATATGCTTTCAACCAGTCTCAACGCCGCTTGGCTGCCTGTTATCTGACGCTGTTTCCTTATTTCTAATTCGGATGTGGAATAACAGGTTACCTTTCGAGCCCTGCATCAGTTTCCCGCCGTGTCAGGAGAGCATCTTATCTGGGAGAAATGTTCGGTTTTCCCAATCCACATAACTGAATCCAGGATCCTCCATGCAGGACAGATTCTAGTACGAGGCTCTGAGGACGCCAAGAGAGTTTTGGGAATCTACATTGAGCACAGCCATCTTGGGGCCACGACCTGGGATAACATCATCGCTCGGGTGCGAACCACCACCAAGCTGCTCGAGACCAGCAAAGCCACAACTAATTGCCGCTCTCTTATTGCTACGGATCGTCTCTCCTCCCTATACGCCTATGGCACCCTTTTTCAACCAACCCCTCCACTGATCATCTTCACACTGGACCGGGTCATTGGCATCTATTTTTTGAACTCCAAGTACAAACAGCACGGGTTGGCAACATGGCGGATACCCAAACGTCTCTTGTACAACAAGAAGAAGCATGGTGGAGTTGGGGCCCTTGAACCCCCTGCTCATATTCGCGCCCATAATATCCAACGCGCTACCCACAGGTTTCAGGCCACCCCTTATGAGGATATTGCACATTCATGTGTGCCAGACCCATATGGCCTTCACTGCTACCTTCCTCACCCTTCCATCCTGAATTTTTTTCCTCCGCAAGTCTCGAACAGAATTGGAAGCAGTTCTGCCCCTACCTTCTAAGGTCAAAACTCCACGCCTGGATCCCAAGTGTCTCGTGGCTGAACCAGTCGCCTTTAACAGGTTTATTTGTAAAGAACCAGACGTCCCATTTGGCTGCCTTCAAAACGAGACATTCTTACTCACAGAACAAGTCAGGCTCGGACACCTTCTAGTTACCTCGCGTGCTGGCGCTCGTCGGATGGAAGCGGAGGAAATCTTCGAGAAATACCCCCCCTCTGTGTACCCAGGAAGCAGGACGTAAATTCCCAACTTTTTCGACTCGGTGCCGTTCAGTTGGTGAGCTGCTCTCAGAAGATTTGCCCCAAGCAAGAACCACTTAGCTGTGGATGATTGGGTTTTGGAGTCTAGGGAAGCTCGTTCCCCGTCCAAGGCCTTACGTATCTCAACCCCGCTTCCGAATCTCAGAGCTCGCGCAGACATCTTCCAGGTTTTGCAGGGGAGGCAAGTGAAGCTGACAAGTCACAGCAGCTGCACGATATCCTTTCGGGATGTCATCTCAATTCATTTCAAAGGACGCTGGCTGGCCGGCCCGTTTGACTCCGGTCCAGCCCTCGGCGCCCGACATGAGCTTTTCAACAGTTCTTAATCACTGACGGACATCAGGAAACTAATGTATCAACCTCTTCCTCCCAATCACCTTGATCGGTGGAATGTCATCATTAGAAACCTCATTCCTTTCCTCCGGGACTACCAACACTCCTTCCTTAAAGACCATCCATCCCGCCAACGCGACATACCCTTCCCTGGCGTCTGGCTCTAGATTCCGTTTCACAACGTCTCGTGGAATCTGCCCTCGCTGCGGCCCTCAGTCTATTGAGGACTTACTTCATATGTTCTTCGACTGCGGTCAAGCCCCGGCGGTGGTCGAGGCGATTCAACGCGTTGCTGTCAGACACCTCTACACTGCTATAGAACAAGCTGCGGTCTTCTTTCCGTCTACGCATCCTTCCACCCACATCGCGCCCTTGTGTCTGCTCGTCGGTGCTGCCGCTACCATTCTCTGGAGAGATCGGTGCTCTAAACCCCACGAGGGTTGGAGTGTAGCATTGGAGTTCCATCAGGGTCAATGCTACACCCCACTCTTTGGAAATCGTAGCTTCTGAACGATACATTTCATCCACCGTAGAAGCATGAGTGTGGTTAGTGTACAAACCTTTGAAAGCTGATCGCCTTCAAGCTATATTTGGATAGGCAAGTAACGCGGTGTTGTGTAGGTCTTTTAGACCTTGGCATTCTGGCCATGCTTGTGGTTTTGTACTGTATGCGGTTACGGCCATAATAAACAAGACTCGACGTTTACGTCGGAAGGGTTGCGTATCGCTGTATTCCATGAATAATAAACTTTGTTATATAGTACATTATATCTATAAATTGCTTATAGAAGCAATTTATTAAGTTTTAAAATTTTAAGTAAAACAGATAGTTCCTTATTAGAAGAAAATTTTCTGTACATTTCTTCCTTATAATTTGTTATGAGTGTTATTTATTATGGAAAATTTAGGACATTGATGTTCTTTTTGTGATTGTAATAAACATGAATTGTTTTCACCAACGACTTGCTCTAATGTTCAGTCAGGTTACTATAGCGGGTTAGGCGTTTGTAGTGTATCTGATGTGTCAGCTAGTTGGGTGGCGTTGCCAGATGCACTTGTACTGTACCGCGCTGGCAAAATTTCCCTGCGCTCAGGTGTTTCCCCGATATCCTTGTGTCCCTTTTCTTGATTCTTGTTCTTGGTTCCTCTCGACAATCACTACCTCTGATCTTCCTCCTTCTCCTCTCCACCACCCCAATTTCTCCTGTTTTTCTCCCACCGAGCCGTCGCTCTCGCTCCCACCCCGCCATCTCCTCTCCCTTAGCTCCCCGCCGTCGCGTTTTCCTCTTCCCCGCCGTCGCGTTTTCCTCCTCCCCGCGGTCACGTTTTCCTCCTCCCCGCCGTCGCGTTTTCCTCCTCCCCGCCGTCGCGTTTTCCTCCTCCCCGCAATCGCGTTTTCCTCCTCCCCGCCGTCGCGTTTTCCTCCTCCCCGCCGTCGCGTTTTCCTCCTCCCCGCCGTCGCGTTTTCCTCCTCCCCGCCGTCGCCTTTCCCTCCTCCCCGCCGTCGCCTCTCCCTCCTCCCCGCCGTCGCCGCTCTTTCCTCCCCGCCGTCGCGTCTCCCTCCTCCCCGCCATCTCCTCTCCCTTACCTCCCCGCCGTCGCCTCTCACTCCTCCCCGCCATCGCCTCTCACTCGTCCCCGCCGATTCGCCTTTCCCTCCTCCCCGCCGTCGCCTCTCCCTCCTCCCCGCCGTCGCCGCTCCTTCCTCCCCGCCGTCGCGTCTCCCTCCTCCTCGCCGTCGCCTCTCCCTCCTCCCCGCGGTCGCATCTCCCCACTCCCCCCCGTCGCCTTTCCTTCCCTCTCCGCCGTCGCCTCCGGCGACAGGTGCACGAGCGCAAGCGCGGGTTGGTGCGCAAGCGCGGTTGGTGCGCGAGCGCGGGTTGGTGCGCGAGTTTTCTCAGGCACCGTGGTTATCAGGTGCGTTCCCGGTCCTTCCGTCCTCCCTTCCCCCCTCTGAAATTTTCGCTTTAGTATTATTATTATTATTATTATTTTTTAATTCCTTTTCCGTGTGTCGATTGGTCTCCTCTTGCATTGTACTTTCATTTAAAGGAGAAAGAGATGGAGCGCGAGGGAGAGCGTGTGCGCATGAGAGAGCGTGCGAGAGAGAGAATGTGCGTGAGAGTGGGCGAGAGAAAGCACGTGAGAGAGAAAATGCGCGTCAGAGTGCGGGAGAGAGAGCGCGAGAGAGAGCGCATGACAGTGTGCTTGAGAGTGCACCTTGAGAGAGCGCGTGAGGGAGTGCGTGAGGGATCGCATGAGAGGGCACGTGATAGAGCGCGTGAGAGAGCGTAAGAGAGCGCATGAGAGAGCGCGTGAGAGAGCGCGTGAGAGAGCGCGTGAGAGAGCGCGTGAGAGAGCGCGTGAGAGAGCGCGTGAGAGAGTGCGTGTGAGAGCGTGTGAGAGAGCGTGTGAGGGAGTGTGTGAGGGTGCGTGTGAGAGATCAGAATGTGCGTTAGAGTGCGCGAGAGAATGCTCTGAGAGAGAGAATGCGCGTGAGAGTGCGGGAGAGAGAGCACAAGAGAGAGCGTGTGAGAGTGCGCGTGAGAGAGCGCGTGAGAGAGCGCGTGAGAGAGCGCGTGAGAGAGAATGTGCGTGAGAGAGCGCGTGAGAGTGCGCATGAGAGAGCTTGTGTGAGAGCGTGCGAGAGAGCGTGTGAGGGAGCATGTGAGAGTGCGCGTGAGAGAGCGTGTGAGAGAGAGAATGTGCGTGAGAGTGCGCGAGAGAAAGCACGTGAGAGAGAGAATGCGCGTGAGAGTGCGGGAGAGAGAGAGCAAGAGAGAGTGCGCGAGAGTGCGCGTGAGAGTGCAGGAGAGAGAGCGTGAGAGAGAGTGCGCGAGAGTGTGCCTGAGAGTGCACCTTGAGAGAGCGCGTGAGGGAGTGCGTGAGGAATCTCATGAGAGGGTGCGTGATAGAGCGCATGAGAGAGCACGTGAGAGAGAGCGTAATAGAGTGCGTGAGAGAGCGCGTGAGAGAGCGCGTGAGAGAGCGCGTGAGAGTGCGTTTAAGAGTGCGTGTGAGAGAGCGTGTGAGAGAGAGAATGTTCGTGAGAGTGCGCCAGAGAAAGCACGTGAGAGAGAGAATGCGCGTGAGAGTGTGGGAGAGAGAGCGCGAGAGAGAGCGCGTGAGAGAGCGCGTGAGAGAGCGCGTGAGAGAGCGCGTGAGAGAGCGCGTGAGGGAGCGTGACAGGGTGCGCGTGAGAGAGCATGTGAGAGAGAGAATGTGCGTGAGAGAGCGCGTGAGAGTGTGCGTGAGAGAGCGTGTGTGAGAGCGTGTGAGAAAGCGTGTGAGGGAGTGTGTGAGGGTGCGCATGAGAGAGCGTGTGAGAGAGAGAATGTGCATGAGAGTGCGCGAGAGAAAGCACGTGAAAAAAGATAATGAGCGTAAGAGTGCGGGAGAGAGAGCGCGAGAGAGAGTGCGGGGGAGTGCGCCTGAGAGTGCGCCTTGATAGAGCGCGTGACAGAGCGCGTGAGAGAGCGCGTGAGAGTGCGCGTGAGAGAACGCATGAGAGAGCGCGTGAGGGTGCACGTGAGAGAGCGCGTGAGGGTGCACGTGAGAGAGCGCGTGAGAGTGCGCGTGAGAGTGCGCGTGAGCATGCTGGGGCGTAGGCACTAGTATAAATTCTGCAGGTGCTTGGGCGACTGGGGCTATTTATGCAACTAAGTGTCGCTTTCTGCACTAGCGCTTTGAGTGCCGGTTTCTAAGGTGTTGGCACCTCAGACGCCGCTCTGGGCCGCTGGCAATTAGCGAGCTAGTGCCTAACACGCTCGTGTAGGGGGCTCGAACACTTGGCTGCTGGCACCTAGTGTGCTGAGCCCTGTGGTGCTCGTGCCTGAAGCGCTGGCGTGATGGCCTTGGGCGCCTAGCCACGGGTTGCTTGCTGCTTTAGGTGGGCGGGTGCGTTGCCGCGCGCTGGCTTCTTTCTGAAGCTCGCAGCGCACTCGCGCACTGCAGTGAGAGATGGTAATTTGTAATTCTTGCTTGGCCTCCTGTAAGAGCACGTGGGTTGCAGTATTTGGTTTTTGCTTTCTTGTACACATTACATAAACATACACTGTGTTTTGTGCAAGGTGTGTTGTTCCTTTCTCCGTTCTTGCCTTCTTGTGCAGGGCGTGTGTGTGTTGACTTCTCTGATTTTGCTTTGTGCAGGGCGTGTGTGTGTTGACTTCTCTGATTTTGCTTTGTGCAGGGCGTGTGTGTGTTGACTTCTCTGATTTTGCTTTGTGCAGGGCGTGTGTGTGTTGACTTCTCTGATTTTGCTTTGTGCAGGGCGTGTGTGTGTTGACTTCTCTGATTTTGCTTTGTGCAGGGCGTGTGTGTGTTGACTTCTCTGATTTTGCTTTGTGCAGGGCGTGTGTGTGTTGACTTCTCTGATTTTGCTTTGTGCAAAGCGTGTGTGTGTTGACTTCTCTGATTTTGCTTTGTGCAGGCGCATTAGCTGAGCTGAGAAGGGAGATGAGGGAGGGAGTGGGATGGATGTGAGGGAAGGAGGGAGGGAGGGTTGTAGGGAGGGGAGGGTGGGATAGGCTAGCAATCATTTCTGCATTTCTGAATTTTATTCATGACGGTTGTCTCTTTATTACGGTCTGTGTATCTATCTGTGGTTTGTGTGTGTGTCAGTGTGTGCTGTGCATGTGCTTATGTGTGCGTGTACGTGCGCGTGTGAGCCTGTGTGAGATATGTGTGTTTGTCTGTTTGCACTTGTCTGTCTCGAGGCGTGTGCAAAAGTGCCTCTTGTATGCAACTGAGGTGTGATGTTAAAGTGTGTCGGGTCTGCATTTGAGGTGGGGATCGTTGTTGGGGCAGCGTTGCTCGCCTTAGCATACCAGAACCACCTCTGCTGTAGCACCGATGCATTTTAGCATTCACTCGCAGTTGCTTGTGTTGTTTTTGTCAGAATGTTATATTCTCTAGCCTGCAGTGGGGTACTCAATAGTGAGTACGGCCCAGTTAGGGTTTGCTATTTGTATCTCAACTGCTGCTAGTGAAACCCCTCTTTCTGCTTCTAAACTTTCTACTGCTAGCTATTTTGACATGGTATCAGAGCAGGTCGACCCCCTTGGGTCGATCCTGTGGGTGGGCCCACCACCTCACTGCTTCCGCTGCTGTTCTACTTGTCGCGCGCCTCGGTCGCGCGACGCCTCCTTCCTGCCGAAATTTTTTTAGGGTTTTCATCCCGCCGTGCGCTCGGGGCGCGCGGCGGTTTTCTGCCCGCCGTGCGCCCCGAGGCGCGCGGCGGTTTCCTACCGTGGGGGACCCCCGCGCGCCCCCGACCTGTCCGTTGAGGCGCCCTGGGGGCCCCGCGCGCAGCCCCCGCTGCCCCATCGGCGGTCGCGTCGCCCCGCCACCCCGTCGCGCCGCCCTGGGGAGCCGCGCGCGACCCCTCGCTGCCCCGTCGACAATCGCGTCGCCCCGCGGGACCCGCGCGCGATCCCCGTCGACCCTCGCGTCGCCCCCCGGAGACCCGCGAGCCGCCCCTGGAGCCGTGCGCGACCCCCCCCCTGCCCTGTCGCGGCGCCCTGGGGGGCTGCGCGCGGCCCCTCGCTGCCCCATGGTGGCGCCCTGGGGGCCGCGCGCCTTCCCCCTCGCCGTCCCCCGCGCTCCTACCCCGTTCCGCCCGTTTTAGGGTTTGGGGGTGGGGAGTGTGGGGGTGGCGGTTGTGGGGGTGCCGGTTGTGTGCCCCGTCCCCTACTCCTCCTCCTCCTCCTCCTCCGTCTCCCGCTGCTGCAGCTGCCGCTCAGGGGGGTGGTTGTGTGGGGAGCCGAAGGAGTGGTGCTAGGGGGGTGAAGGGGGAGTGGAGCTAGGGGTGCAGCAGGGGGTGTGTGTAAGGGGGGTGGGACTGTTTGGGGAGGTTGAACGGAGTCTGCCGTCTTGTCGTCCGCAGCACCTGTAGTCCGGGGCGCTGTCCTGGTAGCCCAGAGAGCCTGCTGCGCCTGTCGCCCGTGGGTCCGTTGCTTCTGCCGCTCAGAGTTAGCCGCAGAGCCAGTTACTCCCTGTAGTCCGGGGCGCTGTCCCGGTAGCCACTGTGCCAGCCGCTCCTGTTGCCCGTGTGTCTGCAGCTTCAGCCGTTGCCTCCCATCTTCTCTCCTGTTACAGTCTCGCCTCCTCCTCCTCACTTGCCCTCTGTGACTGCCTCTAGCTTTGCTCATAAATTGTGAACTACTGCTATGACTGCTTGTTGTGCTGATTACACCCCACTTTGGCTATGGGGGTGTGTCAGAATGTTATATTCTCTAGCCTGCAGTGGGGTACTCAATAGTGAGTACGGCCCAGTTAGGGTTTGCTATTTGTATCTCAACTGCTGCTAGTGAAACCCCTCTTTCTGCTTCTAAACTTTCTACTGCTAGCTATTCTGACAGAACGGAAGGGTAAGCAACCTGTAAGTTACGGTTGGACCACCTGTAAGAAAGATAAGTTATATCAAGCCGGGAAGAGGAGGGGACAGTGTTAGGAGAATTAATACGCTGTGGAGCTTAAGTAGAACATAGGTTCATCAGGGAACTTCTGCTGATAGCAATCCACCAAGGTGTGTTTATCCAAGAGATCTCCTAATAACTTTGCTTCTGTGCGTTCAAATGATTTCAGATATCGGCTGCAGTCGATGGGGAGTGTTGTGTGATGCAACCATATGCATTCACGTCTGTCTGCCTCCCATCAAATGTTTGTGCATTGCATGCGTGGTGTGAGCGTGTGCAAGAATTTGTGTTTGGTCCGCGGTTTGGATTTCCTGAGTATGTGAATGTTATTTGATTTGAGCAAATATTTGAAGTGACTGCTCTGCTCAAGAGCTTTCCGACGAACCAAGAATCGTCGCAATCGGAGCAAGAACAAGAAAGTTGCGAGCGTTGGAGTTCGTATGCTTTCTGTACTTTGGTTGCGGCAACTATGGGAACTTGTTGAGTGACTCATTATGGGGTACAGACTTTTGGGGGTTGGGAAATTCGAACCCATCACTGT